ATTTAAGTTAATATTGTGTTCAATTTGGCCCTGGAAATAAAAGGGTATTGTTTTTTGACAAAGTGTGTGTGTGGTTTCGTTTTTTTAAGTACCGGTTCGAGAACCGTTTAAGCACTGGAACTGTTTAAAAAATACCGAGTAGGCACCGGTATTGGATAAAACCCAACCGATACCCAACCCTACTGTCCACTCAGATCAAACTGTCAAACTAAGCAGTGCTGATCAAATATGGATTAAGATTATGCTATTGTTATACTATTTCTCTCCTCAAATCTTTTCACATATTTTAGTGTGCTGTTTATCTGTAAATAAGGACATGTGTGACCAGGAAGCTGCCATTTTTTCCTGCTACGGATAAAACGAAACTGCGCAACCAATTGGAGCAGCTCAACTTACAGTATGTCACCTCCACTGGGTCTGACAAACTGTCACGGAGACAACCAAAATGCCAAACTTAGAGCTTCAAAATGGTACTCCACAAACTAGTTGGTGGCTTCATGATAGGTTTACACATCACTCTTCCTGTATAGCCCTTATTGAGCATCTTGAAAACCTTTTTTGTCCATGGCATTTCTGTATCAGAGAACCTGGTGAGGACAGTTTGTCTGGCTACTGTTCTTTCAACTCCTCAGGAGCTGTGCTGCTGAAGGAACAGCTGGTTCTGGGGACAGTGACAGCCCTAACAGTGTCAGTCAGAGCCATCTAAGCAGATGGATGCTTCAGTAGCACATACACACCACTGACATCTTGTGTCTGGTGTAAATTTAGGGTTAGGGAAGACAGTCCTTTGTACAACTGAGAGCAAAACCATGAATGTCTTGAATGGCCTTGTGTACAACTTACCATGTCAAGACTGCAAAAGACACAGAATCTTTAGAGACAGAGATCCAGCATACTGTATAGACTTTATGTTACTGTTTTATCATTGAGCAGTTGATGCTTCTAACCTGCTCAAGGTCACCATTGTCAGGAGTTTTTTTTACAGGACCAGCCACTGTGGAGCTTTAGAATTATTTAAGTGTCAGCTCTGTGGTCAGTTAATCACATTATAATTTTCCATCATGGTGTGCCCGAGCCTTTTTTGCCAACACTCAATACTAATGTGTCCTTAACTCAGGAAATAGTTTGCTCACTCAATTTTTCAGAGTTTGAGCAGCGATTTAAATCCCATTAAAGTGATGATTAGACTAATGAAGTCACTGAGGGATTGGCTTCAGCAGTACATTGCAGATCCGGGCTCCTTCTGGGCCACAGGGCCACAGTGCCACTGCGGCCCAGTCACTCACTGCAACTCCACTAATCACACTGTTGGAAGCAGAGCGACGCCACACACCACGTCCTCTGCTGACAGCCCTTCAGCCACGTCTTTCTGCTGTTCCCCAAGGCAAAATGACTGCATTTCAGTGATTCCAGTGTGTGGAGCTCATCTTCACTTGAACTGAAATCAAGTTACATAGACCTGAGGACAGATTGCTGACATCCATTCATAGTTCAATTGATGCGTTGATCTATGAACACATCAGTTCTACATTATGTGTACGCTGTGTGCAGAAGGCTCTAGCTTTGTGCTCAGCCAATCCTCTATCACTGTTTGTGTGTGACATCTCATCAGACAGTTGACAAGAGATAATCAGGGTGAATTAATTGGAAAACTGCATTTTACTTGCATTAAATTGTAACAGCTTGCTGCTTAATTGACTTTTGTAGGATTAGAGACCTGGGTCTGTAGTATCCAGTGGCATACAGGACACAGAAATGCCTCAAAAACTTAACCCATGCTGTTCCAGAATGACCACCCTAACAATTCAGTACACATGTAGACATTGAAGTTCTCCAGTGAAAAACAACATTATTACCAGTTGTTATCCATTTAAATGTACTAAAGTAAGATGCAGGTTTTTACTGACAAAGAACTCTAGTGGTAATCTGAGTCACGATTCGTGTGTCAGGAGCGAAGGCTGTAGAGGTGGGAAGTACAAATACAAATACTTTGTTACTGTACTCAAGTTTTCAGGTATCTGTACTATATTTATTTATTTTTTATTTAAATTTGTTGCTTTTACCGCTACATTTTTACACAAATATCTGGGGGTTTTTTAACTTTCCACTAAAAACAGGATTGTTATTTTAGTAATAATGCATTATAAATTATTATTATTTTGCATCAGTGCATGCCTTCCCAACATCAATACCGGTGCATATCACACATGACAAACGTAACATGAAGAGTACTTTTTACTTAAAATTTCACTTTTACTTGAGTAAAGGAGCTGAATCAGTTTTTTTAGTATCTCTATCTGTATCTGTACTTCTACTTGAGTAAATAAGTGTATTTTTTCTACCTGTGGAAAGCTGACATTGTTATACACCCTAAAAACCTTGTAGTGACAAGTTTGGGTTGGATGGATCAATTAACACTGGAGTCCATTTCTGCCAACAGGTTTTTTTTATAACCATGATGACAAAGGTTTCCTAACCTTATCAAAGTAGTGGCTATTAATCCAAACTATGATTATTTCCTCACTTTTCTAATTAGTTACTTAAAATGTAAATTAATTTCATGTCACATACAAACTTTTCTTGCTCTGTTGCAGCTTCTGCAGTATAAAGATTGAAGGTTTAAAACACTATGAATGTGAGCAAACAATGATTTAATGAATCAAGCTTCACATAGATATGATATATGATATAATATATAATAATTACCCTGCCTTTGAGCAAGACACTGAACCCCAAATTGCTCCTGATGGTTAGGCTTTGCGTGGTAGCTCACTGCCATCTGTGTGTGAGTCTCTATGTGAATGGGTGATTGATAGGCAAATTATAAAGTGCTTTGGATAAAAGCACAGAACATCTCTGGAGGCTACAGACTCTGATGCAACAATCAAAGTCTGCAGCATCATCTTTAACCTCATGGTACATAAAATGGCTGACTGTTGGTGTTCCTCTCCTCTCTGCCTGCAGCTCCAGAAGACTCTGTCAGAACTGGACGAAGATGATCCTTGCTACGAGTTTCGTCGAGAGCGTTTCACCGTCCACCGAACTCACCTCTACTTCCTTCACTATGAGTATGAACCCAGCTCTGACAGCACTGACGTCACCCTAGTCGCCCAGCTCTCAATGGACAGGTACTGTTCTACACCAGCAGCAACAAAGCTCAGTCTTCTATAACCATAGTCTGTTGTTAAAGACTCCCCTGCATGTAAATGGAGAACTTTCTGTTCTGCACTTGTTCCACTGGTGTGCTTAGGTGTGAAAGTGGACAGGACAGGACAGGACTCTGCCGGTGTTATAGAATAGTAAATTGGGAGGAGGTTTTTCAGAAGTAAGTTCCACATATTTTCAACATAGATAATGTTAAGTGACAATAAATAAGACCTAATCTGCAAGGCAGCTGGACTCAAGCTATGCTTTTGTCCTCAGTGTCCTTTGAGGAACTACTGGCAGCTACGGGTGTGGTTTAATGTTAGGTTTGTGTGACAACGTGTGCGAGAAGTGACTGGTTGCTCGAAAACAACAATGGTGGCTGATGAAGAGGTTAGCATAGATGTTGCTAGGATCAGTTGTATTAGAACTGGAGAGTATTTCTTCATTGAAAGAAGAGCAAACAACAGCACTGAAGGCTTTTCTCCATGGAAAATGTGTTTTCTCTCATCTTTCAACTGGCTTCGATAAGAGTTTAACTAGGTTATATGGTCTGTTTATCTGATTGGTTGAAGTTTGCTTTTTAATAGATAGATGGTTCATCCAATCACCTCAAGTATTTTTTGAAAGTGCCTGCCCAGAACTGCGGATGGTTCTTTTAGAGCACGCCCAAGGCTTAGATGAGCAGAAAAATAGTTAAATCATCTGTACAGAAGATGAACAGCTGTCTGTTACATCTGGTTTTTGATCAAACATCAAAGGTACAAGCATGTGTTGATAAAACTGAGGAAGAGAAGTCGCCTACGACTCCCAAGGAGATTTTGGTAAGAGACATCCAATCAACTGCCAGCAGTGAGCTGACGATGAGAATTATGCTTCATGGTAACAAGGTCACTATTCACGGTTGAATGTAGTTTTATTTATCATTTTACCACTATATGTTATATATATATATTATATAGCAAGTTGTAGTTCACTTTATGCTGCTCACAAAAACAAACCTTACATACAGTGCTGAAGATGAATTAAGCAGTCTCATAACCTGAGACTGCCACCAAGGTTATCAGTTCCTTTCATCAATGCGAGCATGTTCTTCTGACAGTTGCGCATTGAGAAACTATGTATATGCTGCTGGAAACTTGCAACAAGAGTCATGGTGGTGGCCCAGTGTTTCCTCTAGGATTTTCTTTAGCAGTGGGGGCAGGCCTGTCCGAACCAGACCCCCCCTGTTCAGACCCCCCTTAATAACCACATGGGCTCAAACTTACAAAACATTGATGAGTCAAACAATTCTGTAAGCTTTTACAAAAGGAATATGCTACAACTTCTGTAAAAATGATAATAAAAATATAAAAAAAAAATGTGTGCTTCCGTGTTTACAGAGGTAGCTATACAAAACAGGACATCTTCCTGCTGAAAATAAGTGCTTCCAATGCACAAAGTGCAATCTGCTTATTGTCGTACATTTACATACGTACTAATATACTTACAACTGTAAGGTTTTCATCGTGGGGTTTGCAGCTTTTCAATGATGTTCACGTCGCGTAAATTACGTCACTTCATAACGTTCCATGGCAACAGGGGAAAATGGCTGCTCTTGAGTGAAGTAACACACAACTACTTTTTGGACCGAAAATGCATGGATTATGAAATCATGCAAGCCTCGCATATATTGCGTGGAAATCGGCAATTTATGCGGCGAAAGTGCGAATATAATATGCGGATTTGGCTTGATTATGCATTGAATTATGCAATCGCATAATCGCGTTTTTCTGGAGGGATGGTATGAACAGAACTGAACTTCGCTGCAACACAAACAAATATATTTACCGTTTTAATGTTTCTAGATGTTTGATATCAGGACCGTTGAGTTGAAGACTGACAAGTCTGAACGTTTGTCCAATTAAACCAGACCCACCGGGCGGTGACGTTTTGGTGAGCTGTTAGTTTTAAGTATTCGACTTGGAAGAAAGCGAACGTTTTGACAATAAGGCTAACTCAAACACAACAGTATGTGGAGTTAAACTGGACAGCCCCAATACCTCTGAATAGTTCTACTTGTTGTTAAATTGCAATGTGAGCGGCAGCCAACGGGGCTGCATTATGTCGGGCAGGATCATTAAAAGGCAACGCGTGACTACATTGTGCGTCTGCCCATTTCTGATACCGTGGTGGCAGAAATTTAACAGCGGTGGGCCGCCGCTCCAAAATCAACATAGAGGAAACACTGTGGCTTCATTTCATGAAGAAACTCAAAATACTATATCTTTCTTCACTGTGTTCAGACTCAAGATACAATAAAACTTTGTGTTGATGCTGAAAACCCTGTGTTGATCAGAAATCGCGAACCAAATTAAG